TGTCCGCATCTTGTACAGCAAATAACCACTAGGAAGAATGTATGCAATGTGTTAATTATTGAAACTGTCCTACCAATTTGGTTTGAAACTGTCTCATCGCTATTGTTGATCAATAAAATTATGGAAAAAAAATAAAATAATTGTGAGACTCTCACACCAGAGGTACCTCTACTGTTGAAGTGCACCAGCTCACTGTCAGCTATAAAGCCTGCCACCAAGTGAACTGAATTTTCACTTGCCACTCACTGATAGGGTTTTGTTAGGAGTCTCCAAGCAACTGATTTTTTTTTAATGGTCTCTGCGCAGTTCAACCTCTCTGTTAGTGTGCACCTCTGTCTGCGGCTGCTCCACATTGCTAGCAACACAGCCTCAGCTGCACCTCAGATCATCAGGCATTAGATCCTCACAAGGAGCTCAAGGCCTAGATCCATCACACATACAGCTTACTGTAAGAGGCAGAGTTCAGACGGTAATGTGAGAGGTGGGGAACAGCTCTAAATACTTTTTTTTTTTTTTTCCAGTACTGGGGATTGAACTCAGGACCTTGCGCTTGCCAGGTAAGGGCTTATTCTACTGAGCTATCTCCCAGGCCCTCTAAATATAGATGAAGCTGTGCTGTCTTGCAGCTCACCTCCTGCTGTGTGGCCCAGCTCCTAACAGACCAGGAACCAGCACCCCGTGTGGCTTGGGAACTGGAGACCTCTGATCTGTTACCTCAGTCACTAATTATACATGCCAAGCTCTGGCTTGGTGTAGGGGACATCAGAGTGGCTTAAACAAGGTTCCTACTTATATCACATTTACAGTCCCATGGGAGAGACAGACACATGACCAGGCAGATCTGCAAGCAGCCATTTATATCTGTCACTTTTTGATGCAAGTCTTCAGACTTAGGCAGCTGTGCGCTCAGGCAGACACTGCAGGGCCCTCTGACCTCCTCTCTCCCATGTCACCTCCCTGGAGTGCCAGTAGCTGGAGGAAGAGCTCTGGGCTCTTCAGAGGGATGCAGCCTACAGAGAACTCAGCTCTCACCCTCCCAGCCCTGTGGGTACCCTGGATTTTAGGGAATCTCTGGAAAGAGCATGTAGATTCATGGATCATAAATATGTGATGTCACCAAGGGCTCAACCTTTCTGGGCTCGAGTTTCTTCATCTGGTGAATGGAAGCAGTGGTCTCAGCCAACCCACCAGGCTGGCACAAACGAGATAGGGAGACAAAGGTGCTGTGTGAACCCAGGTGAGCAGCTCTGTATAAGCATGGAGAGGCACCGTGTGTATTTACAGCTCCGAGCACGACAGGCCCATGGAGTGCACAGCTCAAGACGCCCTGCCCTTCAGGCGGTGCGTGTGCCTCAGGCTCTGCTTTCTATGTGCAGAGGCCAGCACCACACACACGATGAGCACTGATGTGGACAGCCCCGGTAGCCTCCCAAGTGTCCGGCAGAGGTGGCCCCTGTGGAAAGTCCTTGGACACAGAGAGCACAGACTGCAGGGGACCGTGAGGCCCTGGCCAGCCATCTCTCTGCTCTTGTGGGAGAGCAGATCCATGGCTCCAACGTGCGCTCCTGTCTCTGCCATCTGCCAATCTTGCTAGAGCTCCGCTGATGCAGGCACTGTGCCTCTGAATGCAGAAAACTGTGAGTGAAATAAACCATTTCTCTTTCTATGCTATTTGCCTCAGAAATCTCACTATAGACATGTTGTTCTGACTGCTACCATGTGTAGCAATTTTATCAAGATGGGATCATAACATGCTGCTTAGAAGTTACTGATGTTGGACACTTCTCAATAACAATATATACATGTCTGTGTCATTCTTTTATTCCCCCTGGTACTGGGGATCGAACCCAGAGCCTTCATACTGAGCTATAGCCTCAGCCTTTTTCATTTTTTATTTTGAGGCAGTATCTCCTAATTTGCTAAGTTGCCCTGGTTGAGCTCAAACCTTCAATCTTTCTGGTTCAGCTTCCCAAAGCGCTGTATGTTCCATCAATCCCAGTTTTATTTAGTGCCTGTTCTAGCAGCTGCACAACATTTCAGTGTATGAACAGCCTATAACTTGTCTTCTATTGGTGGGTATTTGGGTTGTGGAACCACCAGAAGAAGTCGGTGAGATAAACAGAAGTGTAGATCTCCCGGCAGATCAAAGGGAAGGTTTTATTACAGCAGATGGCAGTGCTCGAGGGGCAGGAGAGCTGCTTGGATGCTCAGGGTGTAGTCAGGGCTCAAAACCACAGGATCGTGAAAGGCAGAGATGGTGCAGACTGGGGCCTGAGCAGAGCTGGCCAGAGCCGTCGGAGCTCCTGGCAGCAGTACCACGCACAGACTTCCCCCTACTGCATGCCTCTCAGAGCCTCACCAGCCCTGCGAGTCTGCCCTCGACCCACTGTCGAGGTCTTGTTGTGCAGTCCAGGCTGGCCTTGATCACATTATATAGCCCAGGCCTGCCTGAAATTTGTGATGACCCTCCTGCCTGAGCCCCGCAAGTACTGGGATTACAGGCATGTGCCACGACACCTGCTCAATGCAGGCTTGATTATAGAGTAGAGAGCAGTCCCTACGTCACCAATGGGAGAGGGGTTAAAGACACTGGGAGCCAGTCAGGATGGCATAATCCATACTCCAAAGCACAGGGAGCAGATGTGGGTGCACCAAGGAGATTTTAACTGCAGAAGCAGGATTGAGGATAGCTTCTTCTCGAGAGCGTTGGCCCACAATGTTTCCACCAGAGTCCTGAGATGGGCGGCTTGGATTCCAGAGAAAGCAGCACGACTGCTAGGTGAGCGGTCCGCAGGGGCGTGCTGCATCTTTGGGGGAGGAGACAGGGGCTGTTACTGGGTGCCCACAGCTTCTGGGGTAGTACAGAGTTCCGAGGAAGGTTTCTTTCTTTTTTTTTTTTTTTCCATAATTTTTTAAATAAACAAATAACAATGAGACAGTTTCAAATCAAATTGGTAGGACAGTTTCAATAATTAACACATTGTATACATTCCTCCCAGTGTAGAGGAAGGTTTCTAAGGTGCTAGCTCAGGGTCAGGGCCAAATGTTTAACATTTGGAGCAACAACTTAGGGACCTTGAGGGGTGCCTGGGAATGAGTAGTCAGTGCTCCGGCCTGGGTTCCAGCCTGCTGGGAAAATCCTGCACACAGAGTGGTCAAGGTGTTCTGTGATTTTAGGTCAGGGCATAGAGAGAAACCCTGGGGCTGGCGGGGACAGCTGCTGGACTCCACCAACTGGATTTTGACACTGGACCTTCTAATTAAGACTACACACTTAACATCCACCTCACTAAAATAAAGTTAAAAATAGCCATGATATAAATGCTAAAAGCCTATTTAAAATTTTTAAATAAAAAAAATCAAACAGCTCTGAAAAGATCCCAGATAAATGAGTACAATAGTTTCTTAGGGAAACAACAAATCACTAGAGATTTGGTGGCCACTGACAAACAATCTGTGCTCTTGCTGTGCGGGGGACACAAGTTTGTATTTAGGGTGGGCCTGGCCACACTCTCCAAACGCACTGGCAAGAGCCTTTCCTGGCCTCAGCTCTGGTGGCTCCTGCGTTCCTTTCTTCACATCCATGTCCCTCTAGTAGGTGGCTCCACCATCTGGGGCTGCCCTCCTGCATCTGACATGTCCCTCTTTTTCCTCAGGAAATCAGCCATAGGGCCATGTGGCTCAAGGCTCACTCTAAACCACAATGATCTTATCTCTCTCTCTTTTTTTAGACAGGGACTCACTATGTAGTCTAGGCTGGCCTTGAACACATGGTGATCCTCCTGCCTCCATCCAAACACACGGTCCCCAGCAGAGAACACCTGCATCTCTCCTCAGGAAGGAGCTTTGGGAGAAAGCTTGGAGGCAGCAGGAAGGAGGGCCTCCCAGGGGACAGACAGAAAGACCAGGGAAACCGCTCTGTCCTCACCCTAGCAGGTCCCTCCAATCCCCTGGGGCAGCAACTTCAGACTCAACACCTGGAGTCCAACCTGAGAACCAGCTGAGCATCTGCCCAGAGGGGCCCTAGCAACATCTTCGGTCTTCCTTGCTGGAAAGTGTACACCATGCTGGACCACGTGTGCCATCGGAAGCCCCAGCGGCCTTTTTCCACTACCTCCTCCAGCTGGGTATCGTGCCATTGAGCTCCAGGCATGGTATGTAAAAGGGATCTGCTAAGTGGATTGTGTGGAGCTTGTGCCTGGAGGGGAGGGGAATTGTGAATGAAGCTCATCCTTGTAGAATAAAGCCTTCCGAAAGCCTGCAGGCTGCCCATCAATGCTGTATTTTGAAGGCACAGGGGTGATAAAGTTGGAGCATTTGTGAGGAGGTATCCAGGCCATGTGGAGGATGCCAAGGGGAGGCTGGCGGCCTCTGCAATCAGACGACTTATGCAGGGTCCCCAAGCACAAGGAGAGACGGGGTGGGGGACAGCGAGCGCCGAGGAGGTGGGCTGCAGGGCTCCCAGCGAGCGAGGGTTGTTTCCAGCCCAAATAGGGGCTGAGATTGGCTTTTCCTCCCTCTGAGCGTAATCTGACGCTATTTGGGGAGGCAAGGCCGAAACCTGATCCTCCAGTCCTGGGGCTCCGTTAATGTTTAATCAGATAGGATCGTCCGATGGGGCTCCGGTGGCGTGATCTACCAGCCCCCGGACGTCGAGAGCACACACCCTAGAAGGCTCGGCCGGCGTCGAGGCCCGGACTCTCGCGTGGGACAGACGCACAGCTTCGAGCCGAGCACACCTGGTCTTCCGCCCGTCCCCGTCCCGCGCCGCCGTGATGCGCACCCGCGGACCTGCGCCGCCCCGGTGGCCGCTGCTGCTGCTCTTGATGCTGGGCCTCGGGCGAACCGGCGCCCCGGAGGACGAGGATAGCGACTACGCGGAGCTGGCACTCGCCTTCCCGTCGGAGGAGGACGGCCCGGCCGACGCGGCCCCGCATGTGCCCTCCGCCACCTTCCACCGCTGCGCCAAGGTGCGTGCGAGATGCAGCCTCCTCCGGCCTCAGTGTCCCCGAGCGCCTGAGGGCGGAGGGAGGGAACTTGGTCTGGATGGCCGGCCGCAGTGGGGCGCGGGGCCGGGTCTGGAGGGAGCTTGGCAGTGGCGGCGAGAGAGGGGTGCGGGGCACCGGGCACCAGGCGCTGGGCGGGGACGGGCGTCTGGCGATTTGCCTTAGAGGCCGCAACCACGGAGAGCCCTGCAGGGTCCGTCAGACGCTGCGTCCAGCCAAGGCGCACAGCCGCTGCATCCCCAGTTGTAGGGTGCTCGGAAATCGCTTACTCTTGAGCCCCTATGGAAAGAGAGACAACCGTCCTAGCCTGCGTGGGGATGAGGTCTTGCAGCTCTGTGGACCCACGAGTGACCCCCAGATCCGGTTTGGGAAGAGGCCATTTGTGGAGGGAGTCTTGTCCCGGGCTGCCGCGTGGTCTCTGGATTCACCCTCTTGCCTTGCTGGGTGGAGAGAGGTCTGGCCCCCCATTTTCAGAGGCTTTTACCTTCTATGGGGACAATGAGGGTTGTGGTCAGGGTGCTCAGGGACATTTCCTGTCTCCAGCCCCCAGAATGACTGTTCTGGAAGTACCGATACTGCATCTGGAGAGCCGGCATCCCAGACCACCTCTGGCCGGGGTGTGGCTGCCCCCGCTAGCATGGAACAGGAACTTCCTGCTTGCTTGGCCATTTGCTCCCGCTCCGTGGGTGTTTTGTAGGAATTGCATTGAGAATAGAAATAGTGTTGGCAAGCAGAAAATCATTTCAGATCAATCCTTTTGCTGTAGTCACAAGCAACTGAGGTCCAGAGAGAAGAGGCGAAGCCACCCCCGCCCCGGGACACAGAACTCGGCCTCCAGAGCTCTGATTCCACTGCGGAGTATCCTGTCCATTCATTAGATTTTCATTCGACAGAGGGCGTTGTAGATGGATCTTTGAAGCATGAATAGGAGTCCAATAAATGCCGGTGGAAGAATTTTATTTAGGCGGTGGTGGGAGGAGGAGCACAGGTGGAGAAGGCGGAATATGTTTCGAACTGAAAGTTTTTGTAGCTGATGTGATGGTAGAAGCTGACGAGTCCCCCACCCCCGTCGCTGTGCATCTGCGTATACTCACGCATCTCTATGGTGTCACTTATGCATCCGGTCTCTTGTTGCTTGTCTGAGATCTAGGTGTGGTCCTACACCCATGGGCTCTGAGTCTTTGGGTAAAGTGTTCCGGCCTCGCTCTGGCTGGAGGCCAGGGGGCACACCCGGTTGTGGGAGGGCACAGCTGCCGGGGGAGGTGACGCTAAGCTAGGAGGAGCTGGCGATTGAACCTTATTTCCGTGGGCGGAGGGAGGTCTGGCCCCCCATTTTCGGAGGCTTTTGCCATCCATGGGGACAGTGAAGGTTGTGGTCAGGGTGCTCAGGAATATTCGTCAGCTGTGAGGGCAGCTAGAGCCCTCGAGCTAACTGAAGCCAAACATGTGGGCAACTGCTTGAAGGCGCTTCTGCCCGCGTTTGCATAGCAGGAGGGGATGCTCAACACTGCCATCCCTCCCCCTCCCAGCAGGCCTGTGCTGTGGGTACCGTGGTCCCTGCCACCCAGAGGAGGCATTGAGGCTCAGGGAGGCTGTGTGGCTGGCTCAGGGCTGCACAGCTTGTAGCTTCTGGAGCCGGGATTCTGGACCATGTGAGTCTTGTCCTCAGAAGGAGAGATCAGGAGCCAGACTGGGGAGGCAGGCAGGACTAGGTGGCCTCTGGGCTGGGGTCCTGGGAGAGCCTGGTATGGCACAGGAGCAGCCACGTGGAGTACAGCCCTACATCCCCTGCAGCCTGGTTGCTGGCTCTGGCCATGTTGGGACACGTGGCCCGCATGTGTGTGTGTGTGGGGGGGGGGGTTTGTGGCTTTCTGCCCTGCTTCGGTCTCTGCAGTTTACTGTCTCCTGCTGTGACGCTAATTGCTGTTTGCATAGGGGGCTGGGGTCTGCACAGGGTCCCTTGTGGTCTGACACCTCCTCCCCCACCCTCAGGAGGCATGGAGGCTGCCCAGCACCTACATGGTGGTGCTAAAGGAGGGGACCCACCATGAGCAGACCCAGCACACAGCCCTCCGCCTGCAAACCAGGGCTGCCCGCCGGGGCTACCTCACCACCGTCCTGCACCTTTTCCACCACCTGGTCCCCGGCTTCCTCGTGAAGATGAGTGCAGACCTGCTGGATCTGGTGAGCTGCCTCTCCTCGTCTCAGTGGGTTCTCCTGGACACCAAGGGGGACGTGGCCCTTGGGGTTCCAGCCCAATGATTTCAGCTTGGGTGCAAATGCCTGTGAACCTGGCCACACCCCAGAGACCCTTCTGACTTCACCTGAAAATGAGTACAAGCATGTTCTGGTGGTACATGTCCATAATCCCAGAAATCTAGGCAGCTGAGGCAGGAGGATTGCAAGTTCCAGTCCAGCCTGGGCAACTTAGACCCTGTCTCAAATTCTGAAAGATGGCGAGGGCTGTAGCTTCATATGAAGACCCTGGACTCCATCCCCGGTACTGGTGTGTGTGTGTGGGGAATTCCAAGGCAGAGATAAGACCACCAGACATCAGGGGTGGGGTCTAGCCTGGGAAGCACATGAGGACAGGCACCAGGTCATCCCTCAACCACATGATATGAGGTGCACGCTTCCTCTCCTGGGGCAGCATGGCCCAAGTCATGGGGCTAACCATGGGTGTGGGTGGCCGAGGACCTCTGGCCTCCCTGCTCTCCTGCACCCTAAGCCAGTGCAATGGTGCACATTGTGTCCTCTAATTTAATGGCAGCACATAATCATCATTTGCACACCAATTTTCTGTGTGCCTTGGACGTGGAGGCCCAGGGTGAGAGGCCACAGCAGTACATACTTGGCAGGGGCTCCTAGGTTGCCACACTCCTGCATGTGGTCGGTTCAGGGCAGCATCCTGTGACTGAATAACTGTGTACCAGTCTGTCCTCACAGAAACAGTCTGAGCAGGCACAGGATACTGAGGCATCTACAGATGAATGGGGCCTCTAGTTGGGCTGAGTGAGGAAAGGGCACTGCGGCATGGACAGGGGCTGGTGGCACCCGATTCCTGTTGATACCCCCAGGGCTGAGCTTGGCTGGCAGTCGCTGCCAGTACACTGCGGCTGCAGCCTGGTGCTCCACTCCAGGCACCCAGGCCCCGCCAGCCTTCCTGCAGATGTGGGCTCTCGGTGCCACACTGCACTGGGCACCCCGCCTGTTAGATGGGTGAGAACATGGGGTCCTGGTCCTGGTCCTGCCCCTGCCTGCGGGGTGCGGGAAGGTCAAGTTTTGGGCCCCTGGGACATGCTTTGGGGGTGCTGGAGCAGAGTCCCCTGGCTTCTTCAGGCCCTGCGGCTGCCACACGTTGAGTACATTGAGGAAGACTCCTCCGTCTTCGCGCAGAGCGTCCCGTGGAATCTGGAGAGGATCCTCCCTGCACGGTACCAGGCAGAGGAGTACAGCGCCCCCAGTGAGCACCCTGTGGTGACCCCACCTGCTGACTCATCTGGTTCTGTGTCCCCCCTGCCCTGTGAGGGGCCTGGCTTCCCCCACTGACCCCTCCTCGTGTCCTTCCCTCCTTGTGCAGCCTCCTCTTGGTCCAGTGGTGCGCAGGCCCTGTTAGTCCCTTTCCTGGCCAGGCCTGGTGGCCCCATCTCTATGCAGGAGCAAGGATGCCCTTTTTTGCTGTCTCTATACAGGTGGCCTGATAAGCTGCCCTCACCTGGGGGAGGGGCACAGTCGGACAGACCCCTGGGTATCTGTGACTCCTGGCTGGGCTCTGCTGGCCTTCTGCTCACCCTGTCTCTGTCCTGAGAGGCTCCCTGTAGAGATGGAGGGTGGGGAGGGGAGCAGCCCAGGCTTTAGCAGGACCTTGCAGGTGACAGCTAGATTCCAGGGAACAGTACAAGATCTGAGGGTCTCCTGGCCTGGGATCTTGTGCTTCATGGTCAGAGGGGAACTCAGTTGCTACTCATGAGCTCCTAACTGTGAGATCTTGGGGAGCCACTTCCCTCTCAGAGCATCTTCTTGTCACAAGTACAGTGGGCATGGTACCCGTGTCCACGTCCTCCCGGGTGGTTGAGGCTCTAGTGGCAGATCAGGACTCCAGTGGGGCTCAGGGCCTGGAAATAGAGCATGTGGCCTTGAGGATGCTCCTTCTTGCCTTTCCTTCTTGGTGGCCACAGCATCCCTGCCTTGTGTCTCTGCCCCTATCCTCTCTGTTCCTCTGTAAGGACCTCTGTATGGACCCAGTGTCTGGAGGTCCCTGACTTGATGGGTGCAGTATAGTCTGGGGTCAGGGTGTGAACATAGCTTCCTGGGACCACTGCCTGCTCCACCCACTCCTGCCTGGGAGGTGCTGCATTGCCCCTAGCGGGTGAAGCACGGAGGCCAAAAGCTGCGTGTGGAGTCCTGGAGTCGTGGGGGCCTTGGCTGGAGGAGGATTTCCAGCAATGCTGGGCTGTGGTGAGGCAGGTGGGCGCCTTGGGGACAAGGCTGGCTGGCCCCAGGGTACACCTTCCATTCACGCGGCACAAACGCAACTGGGGCACCCTTGAGCTGTGGGACCTTGAACACTGCTCTGGCTCTCTAAGTCTTAGATTCCTCTTCCAGAGGGAGGTAGTGATGGTCCTGGAGGGGCTGTTTGCAAGGCAAGGCACCTACTGCGGCAGCATGGCTGGTAGTACTGGAAGGTGTGGGTCTAGCCACCTCCTGTCCTCATTCAGCAGTAACTCCTGGAGCAACAGCGGTGCTGGCAGCCTTCCCCAAGGCTCTGCTGGCCAGGCTCAGGCTCTCTCTGAGACCCGAGGCTCCTTCCTCCTCCCTCTGCTCCTTGCAGCCGAGCTGCATGGCGACCTGCAGGTTCTCCCTGCCTTCTCCTGTGCCCCTCACCTGTCTTGCTTGGCAGCCTTCTTCCTGAAGAACCCCGTTTTGTGGGAAACTGTGCTTCTTGGGGAACCTCACTTCCTGGAGAACATACTTCCTGGTGACCCCATTTCCCAGAGAACCCCATTTCCTGGGGAACCCCATTCACCCTGGAGAAAGGAGGAGTGCATGTCAGGCTTTGGGTAGACTGCTGTAATTCAGGTCTGGAGGAAACAGCCCCCGGGACCCTCCTGGCACCTGTAGAGAGCACATGGTCTGAGCCTGAGGAGTAGCACCTGAGTCTCCATTTCCTCAATACAAAGAACTGGCAGCTCGGGCTGCCCTGCTCTGCTTCCATGCCTCAGCCCCGCTGTGCCCAGGCTGAGCTGGGAAAGGCTGTACCCAGGCTCGCTGCACAGCGTGCTCCTGACTCTCTTCTCTATATGCCTGTCACTTGCCAGCCACAATAATGCTCCTGAACCAGTTACCCTGGCTCCTTTCCCCACTCCATCACTTGCCACTGACTCAGCCACAGACAGCTCCTGCCCCCTCCCTGCCACATTGTAGACAGACATGTGTGCAGCTGAGAGGCTCTGTGTGTAAGGTGCCGTGACTTAGCGTGCACAGCGCCAGCTCCCACACAGCCGTAATGCCAGCGTCCGGTGGTTCTCTCCTGGTGCTGCCTGGGGAAGGTGGAGGCGGCCTGGTGGAGGTGTACCTCTTAGACACTGGCATCCAGAGCGGCCACCGGGAAATCCAGGGCAGGATCACAGTCACCGACTTTGAGAGTGTACCCGAAGAGGATGGGACACGCTTCCACAGACAGGTGCGCACCCTCTGCCCCCGTCTTGGCCTCATGGCTGTGCCCCTGCTGTTCCGCCCCTCCCTGGCTGTCAATGGTGGGGTGAGGGTGTCCATCCATCTGTCCCTTGCGGATACGTCGAGGGGTGGCAGCCTTTCTCATGAGATCCTTGTGTTGCTCGAGCAGGCAAACAAGTGTGACAGCCACGGCACCCACCTGGCTGGTGTGGTCAGCGGCCGGGATGCAGGTGTGGCGAAGGGTGCCAGCCTACGCAGCCTGCGTGTGCTCAACTGCCAAGGAAAGGGCACAGTCAGCGGCACCCTCATAGGTGAGTGGCACCTGGCAGAGAGGGGTTCAAGTCTGGGAAGCCCTGGTGTGCCCTGACTGGGGAGCAAAGGGGGCCTTGGCTGGAGCTCTAGTGGGACAGAGCTGGCAGGGGTCATGGGTGCACACAGAGAAGCTGAAGCTTCGAAGGGTGGAGGCTTTGTCCAGGCCCTGGGTCAGGCTCTCTGCAAGATCCCACACTAGTCCCCTCTGCAACTCCTTTAAAAGTTCGGTTTTCTTGGAGCTGGACGTGGTGGTGGATTCCAGGTGAGGTCAAGGCCAACCTGGGCTACAGAGTGAGTTCAAGCCTAGCCCGACCTGTGTAGCAAGACCTGGGCTCAACTGCCAAGGAAAGGGCACAGTCAGCGGCACCCTCATAGGTGAAAGCAAAAAGCAAAATAAGATAAAACAAAACAGAAGTTCTGTTTTCCATCACGCTGTCTTAGATTTGGGCAGCGCCTGAGGTGAGTTCAGCAAGCTTTCTCCATCTCTGTTCTCTGAAGCAGTAGACTCACTGCCTGCATGGGTGACAGGGTCCTGCAGCTACTGTTGCCGGGCACACACCATGACTGGGCAGGCCTTTTAGAGGAGCTGGTAACAGAACTTTGGCAGTCTCTGCTGGAGATGCCAGCCAGTCTGCTGTGTGGGCACCTGGGAGTTGGTGCTGATTGCTAGGACAGTGGCCTGTGGGTAGAGAAGAGGGAGGATGTCTGGCTTATGATATCCTGCTGTGGCCAGACACCAAGCCAAGGGGCTTTTACACCTTGACCCTGGGCCAGCCCAGGGCACTTGTTCAGCTGCTAGCTGGCTGAAGAGGGTGCCCTGCACAGGCGATGCAGCTGGAGCTGGCGATGCCACTGGGGAAGGTGCTGGCTCTGGGCCCCACACAGCAAGCCCAGTTTGGGCCAGACCTGTGCAACCCTTGAGGCTGCAAAGGTCCAGGGGCCCACCTGTGTACTCAGTTCACCCCTGGGCTCTCCCAGACTTGCCATTGGGCTTTTGAGGGAGGTGAAGCATTGTGAAGTCCGAGCCCAGGGCCAAATTCTTCCCCAGAGCTTGGTCTTCTCTCTTTAGGCTTCAGCTAGTGGATGGGGCCCATGTATGTTCCAGTGCCCATCTGCTTAGAGCAGATGAGTCCCTTAGAAAAGCAGTACATACCCTGGGGGTGCCGCCATTGGGTGCCACCCTCTGTACCTATGAGGACGAGGCTGTGGGGGAAAGCAGGTCTGGGGAAGTGACTCGGCTTTACTCCCCAGGCCTGGAGTTCATTCGGAAAAGCCAGCTGGCTCAGCCCGTGGGGCCGCTGGTGGTGCTGCTGCCCCTGGCTGGTGGGTACAGCCGCACCCTCAACGCTGCCTGCCACCACCTGGCAAGGGTGGGGGTGGTGCTGGTTGCGGCAGCCGGCAACTTCCGGGACGATGCCTGCCTCTACTCCCCAGCTTCAGCTCCAGAGGTGGGTGCCCTGGTGCTGCCCCATGGTGGCCAATGTCCTGGCCACTGCCCCCCAAAGGTCTTCTCCATGCCCCACCCCAGGCTGCTGATCCTCGGTCCTCCAGCCCCTGTGGGGGACAGAATAGCACCGCAGCTCTCTCTTGTCACCTGCCTCCTCCCCAGACACTCAGGTAGCTGGGACTTGACCAAAGGACAGTCAGCCCAGAGCATCCTGGCCCCATTGATGTGATCTGTGGCTTCCCAGCCCTAAGTCCCTGCAGAGATCTCGTTACTCCTGCAGCAAGCAGGCTGAAGGCTGGGGGCTGGGGCTAGGGGTACTGGGCTGTAGCCCTCATGTCATCCGCAGTGCTATGTGCCTGCAGGTCACTGGGCCATGTGAACACAGGGAGGGCTCAGAGGAGCAGGCTTCACGTCCCCACCTGCACGACGTTTTGGGGGATCTGCCGCGTGCAGGGCCATCTGAGTGCAGTGGCCAGGGGAGGACTTCCCAGCAATGCTTGGGCCTGGCAGGCTGATGGCTGGCATGGGAGGTGCAGAAGTTACCCTGTCATTCTGCCCTGTGGGAGGCTGAAGTAGGAGGAATTCAGGCTCGCACCCAACCTGGTCCATTTGATACAGGGTCTCACTGTGCAGCTTGCACTCATGGCGAGCCTCCTGTTTTCAGCCTCCCCAGTGCTGGGATTACAGGCATGCAGCACCATGCCTGGACTCAAGTCTGCTCAGCACACCCGAGGGTGAGGGGGCAGGGTGCCATGCGGTACTGAGGATCAAACCCTCGTCTCTGCCTAGTGGACTTAGGCAAGCACTTAGTCCACTGAGCTATCTCACCAGCCCATAGCCTCCAAATTTAAAAAAGGGCTGGTGATGTCACCCAGTGTGAAGGACCTGGGCTCACCCTCAGGACTCTGACCAAGCAAGTGAAAGACGACCTAGAACCTGTCCCGCCTCCCTGCTTTGCAGCACTTAAAGTAGGACTAGTTCCCCCTCTGTCGCATGTCTTCCCATGAGACTGCTCTGCACAGGGTCGTTGGAATGTGCATGCATATGGTGAGGAGCACAGGTGGGTCAGGGCACAAAGTATCAGAGTTCTGCCTGTGGGAGTCAGAGTTCCCTAGTGTGAACAGAGTTCCCCAGTTGGGTGTGTGGGAGTTGGCCAGCGTGGCTGGCAAGGTCTGTCCTCCTTGCACCCTTCCCTCACTCTTCTCTGCCACCCCCCTCCTCACCTTTCCAGGTCATCACAGTTGGGGCCACCAATGCCCAGGACCAGCCAGTAACCCTGGGGACCTTGGGGACCAACTTTGGCCGCTGTGTGGACCTCTTTGCCCCAGGGGAGGACATTATTGGTGCCTCCAGTGATTGTAGCACCTGCTTTGTGTCACAGAGTGGGACGTCACAGGCTGCTGCCCATGTGGCAGGTCAGTCACCGCCGCTGTGGCCACCATGGGCCCCAAGGATAGACAGGGTCTGGGGCAGGATGCACACGTGTGAGTGGCTGCACAGGCGCCACCGGTTGGCCAGCTCTGTCCCTGGGCTGGTGGGGGTGACACTGAGTGGAAGAGGGGGCGGGGAAGGAGAGAGCAGGAAGGAGGGACACTGCGTCAGCAACCTAACTTCCTCCCAAGAGCCCCACCTTCTGGGCTCCACCACCTTCCAGCAGTGCCACAGGCTGTGGACCAAGCCTTAGTACTAGACGCCTGGGGGACACGGCAGATCCAGACCGCAGAGGCGCCCTCCGGCAGCTCTCAGCTAATGGGAGAGGTGGTCCCCGAAACAGGAGAGCAGAGCCTTCAGGGATCCAGCAGCATGAGCCCAGAGGAGGCGCCAGAGCATTCTGAGGGGCAGGGAAGGCTTCTTGGAAGAGAGACACTTGATCTAGCCTGTCAGGGATGAATAGGAGTTCACTTGGTAAGGACCAGGGCCCAGCAGGAGGAGAGCAGGATGTCTTAGTAGCTGGCTTTGCCTCCACAGCAAACCATGGGCGGCTTCCTGAAGGGTAGTGTGGTGCTTTGGAGGCCTTGGTTAGGAAGGAGGGCCACACTGCCACCAGCTCTGACCACCCCATCCCACCCCAGGCATAGTGGCCATGATGCTGAAGGCTGAGCCAGAGCTCACGCTGGCTGAGCTGCGGCAGAGGCTGATCCACTTCTCTGCCAAAGACGTCATCAACGAGGCCTGGTTCCCTGAGGACCAGCGAGTGCTGACACCAAACCTGGTGGCCACACTGCCCCCCAGTACCCACAGAGCAGGTGAGCAGGGTAGAGGGTGGCTGGTGGCCAGTGGCGTGCCCATGGCCCTGAGAAGTCCTGGGCCCAGTAGGAGCTGACCCCTACTAGGGTCCCTGGGGACTGCCCTCTGGGTCCCTCCTCACCAGGGGCCTGTTGCAGGGGGCCAGCTGCTCTGCAGGACGGTGTGGTCAGCACACTCGGGGCCCACGCGCATGGCTACCGCCCGGGCCCACTGTGCCCCTGGCGAGGAGCTGCTGAGCTGCTCTAGTTTCTCTCGGAGTGGGAAACGGCGGGGCGAGCGCATCGAGGTAGCCTGCCCTGTGTGTGTGTGTGTGTGTGTGTGTGTGTGTGTGTGTGTGTGTGTGTTAGACTCCTGCCTGGGGCCCTGGGTGCCATGAGGGGGCTGCTGGGGAGGAAGCCATGCCTGTGTCCCAGGGATGCCGTGGGATGGAGGTGCCTGCCTGGCATGGGCAGCATGGATGGGGCCCTTGGGGCTGGGTGGTGGTGGTGGAGCAGGATCAGCCCTGTGCCTGACTTCTGGATTCCCCCTGTCTCAGTATCTGAAAGAACTTCAGGAAACCAAGAGCTGCCCACAGCAGAGCAGTGTTCCAGGCAGGCATGGGTCCTGGTCCCCAGAGGGCCTCAGGCCCCTGCAGCCCTGCATCCCGGTAAAGCAGGCTTGGCCTCTGTCTCTGGCTGCAGGACCTCAGGGGCAGGCGAGTGTGCCTGGCCCACAACGCATTTGGGGGTGAGGGCGTCTACGCTGTTGCCAGGTGCTGCCTGCTGCCCCAGGCCAACTGCAGCGTGCACATGGCCGTGGCTGTGGCTGGGATGAAACCCCATGTTCACTGCCACCAGCAGGACCAGGTCCTCACAGGTAGGAGGCTGGCCTTTCTCCTCACACCTCTGGCCCAGCAGGCATGGTACACAGGGGGTGAGCAGTTGGGTGTCCATGTACCTATTGTAAGCCCAGGGTTGCACTTCCACTGTGGGGCCCTGGTAGTTGATTTTGTCTTTCTATCCTGGCTTTCTTCTACCTAAGAAGGGAGATACCCTCCTATGGTGGTGGCAAAGTGGGGACAGCTAGAACAAGCCCTGGGTGGCTAGCCAGGAAGGAAGGGCTCCAAGGCCAGGTCCACAATGAGGCAGACCTTGGGCTAGCGCCACTCTGTCCCCAGCAGGTGGGCATGCTGCTGACCAGGTCTGAGCCTCGGTTTCCCAGTCTGTGAAATGGGGGGGTGCTGCATGTTCTAGCGTTGTTATTGCCATCTCTTACTGCCTTTCCTTGTCTGAAGGGCCACTCTGTCAAAAGTATGTCACACATGCAGCAGGAAGTCTCTCCTGCATGGAGAGGGGATGGTGTTCAGGTGGCAGGAGGCTGAGCTGTCCTGGATTGGTGGAGTTCAGGTGCCCGGAGGGCTTGGAGACAGCAGGGGGCCATGACCGTGTTGGGGATGGAAATGCAGTGGAGGGCCCGGCAGAGCAGCCTGGTGTGCTGGCAGGGTTTGAGTGGGGAGAGGGGCTGGGTGTCCTGGGACTGGGCAGGGGCTGGTGCCCTTGGCTTGCTTTCTGCATCAGCGTCCTGGGCCCTGAAGCATGCCTAGCAGAAAGCCTGGGCCCAGCAGCCGTGGATGGGCTCTGCCTGTAGACACTGCCTGAGCTGTTTTGCAGTGAGGGGCCTTAGAACTGGGCACACTGAGGGCTTTCCCAGGGCACACTGAGAGCATTGGCAGTCATGGCCCTAAGACAGGTCACGGACTGTGCTGAGACTTCCCACACATGTCTATTTCATTGTCACAGGGCAGTGATGTCACTGTCACTGTTTCACAGGGAAGCTGAGGCTCGTTACAGCTGCATGATTATTGTCTGTGATTTTGCGCCACTTCAGGCCCATGGGAGGAGCACCTAGGTGCCGGGCTCAGGCCTCAACTCTGCTGGAGGCTGGAGGGGGTAGGACCCAGGAGGCTTTCAGTTTCAGGCCTTGGACTCCTGTCCCATCGCTCCCATCTCAGAGTGGCAAGGAGACCATGTTTGTACTGAGAATTGAGGTTCACAGAGGTTGAATGCTTTCCTAAGGTCACATAGGAGGGACTCAGCAGAGCAGAGGTGAGAACCCTGGGATCCTGCTGCTCAGGCCAATCTCTTTCCTGTCTGAGCTGTCCCTGGGTGTCCCCAGCCTCAGGCCTTAATGCTATGGGGGCAGGAAGAGGGTCCCCAGCATTCCCAACATGGAGTCGATCCTTCTCTACCCAGGCTGCAGCGCCCACTGGGAGGCTGAGGATTTTGGTGCCCACGGGTGGCCTGTGGTGAGGCCAGGTAGGCCCGGCCAGTGTGTGGGCCCCAAGGAGGCCAGCGTACACGCGTCCTGCTGCCAGGCCTCTGGCCTGGAGTGCAGAGTCAAGGAGCATGGTGTCCCACAGCCTGTGGAGCAGGTGAGGAGCAGGCCGGGTGCATGCGACTGTCCCTTACACTTCGAGTTAGTACTGGTGCCCCTGTCACACTGTCACATGTCGGGGTGGGGTGTTGGGTGCAGGCCGTGTTTGTGGTGCTGCTGCTGAGCTCCGTTGCCCTTACAGAACATAGTAGATGTGGTGCACAGAAGTACTACACGTGGTTCCATAGTCTGCCGAGAGGGGGCAGAGGGCCAAGAGCTTTGGCTGACTGAGGAGGCTGAGGTGACACAGCTGTGTCTGGGGGAGGGGTGCTGTCACCAGGCTGAAGGGCAGGCCCACCTCAGACCTGGGGTGCCCCAGCGCCCTGCAAGTTCTAGGGCTCTGAAAAGATGACATGGAGAAAAAATAACAACAACAACAACAAAAGATGACATGGAGGATGCAGAGCCAGGAAGGGAGGGGAGGTCAGGAAGGCCTCACTTGGACAGTGGGCATGGCAAGCCAGTGGGCACATCCCAGGAATACCACTCAGGCAGAGGGGACAGCTACGCAATGGCAGGAGTGTGGGGCAGGCACAGTGGCAGATGCCAGTAATCCCGGCCTCTGGAGGCTGAAGCAGGAGGATGACACAGGTGAGCCTAGCCCATACAACTTTGCCAACTAAACTAGAAAGGGCTGGGGATGTGACTCCGCTGTTAGGAAGGAGGGGGTGGGCCTAGTGGGCCAAGGCCATGTCAGTGGTCTGAGTCCCCAGGTCAGACTCCAGGTCTGCTGGGTGGGTGGGAGCCTGAGGCAAGGGTGGGGTATAGCAGCTTGCTCCAAGCTGAGCTGAGGCTGCACTGCAGTGACGGTAACAACGGGGCTCCTGTGATGGTGCAAGTAGGGCATGGGACCTGGAGGATGTGGAGGTCCTGGGACACAGTTGGTGGGCAGGGGAGATGTAGTAAGGCCAGCTGAGTGGCAGGGGCTGGTGTGCAAGATGGGGCACTTAGAGCACATCTGTGGTTGGTGCTGGGCGTGGGCCACCAGGGGTGAGCTGCAGAGCCAGGGCTTGGCATCGTAGCCCTGGGGCTTGTTGGGACAAAGTGAAGCCCAGGTGGTATAGACACGTGCTGTCTCCTCCCGGGCTCTGGCAGGTTACTGTATCCTGTGAGGACGGCTGGACGCTGACGGGCTGTAGTGCCCTCCCCGGAGCCTCCTTGGTCCTTGGGGCCTACGCCGTGGACAACACATGTGTGGTGAAGAGCCGTGCCATGAAGGTGGTAGGCAGAACCAGTGAGGAAGCTGTGGCAGCTGCTGCCATCTGCTGCCAGGGCCGGGCCTTGGAGCAGGCCTCCTGGCAGCGCCAGTGACAGCCTTGCCAGGTTGGGGGCCCACATAGGCTGAGCCTGGGCCTGCAGGGACAGATGTGCTGCCTGGTGCTGCCAGGGCTCCTTGCCTGGGAGGACTCACCTGGGCCCCGGGGTGGGCTGCAGCCTGGCCCCATCACACCTCCACCTCCGCAGCACAGCACAGAAGCTGGGCTCCACCTGTGCACAGCTCACGGCAGAGGACCTGCCTGTGTCTGAGCTCTTGCGGTGTGCCAGGCACTGTCATTTCCCTGAGGGAGGGAGGATGTGGGGGACCGTCGGGAGCGTTGGGCCAGGGTGGCCTTACCTTGCCTGCCCACATTCGAGAAGGCCCTTTGGGATCCCTGGCTAATGGGGAGTCTTTTTTACACCCCTTGGTGAGGGCAGGGAAGAGATCTGTGCCCGTTTCTCCCCGTCAGTAACAGTGGCACCCTACCTGATGGAGGAACATACGGGACTAGAGGGACAGTACCCACCACACACTGTGGGAAGTGGGATGGGGCTGGGATGAGAGCTGGTGCAGTCTGGTGAGAAGCCAGGCTTCTGCTGTGCCAGGCTGGGGTCGCTCCTGATGTCTTGGTGGGCTGTGGAAAGAGGCAACTGTCTCCCCTGTGCAAACCTCTCCTCTGCTGCCTTTTTATACCACAAAGCTTTCCCAGAATGGTTTGGCTTTTGTAACTTGTAACTTGGTATTTATTCTGGGTTTTGTAGCATTTTTATTGTTACTTTTAAAAATAAAATTGACTTTGCCATGATAGCCTGGAGCTACCTGCCTCAGGATGCCCCCGTGTAGCAGGGCATCCTCGGGGGTGGGGGCGACAGGCCTCGGCGGAGCCTGCTGCAGACTGCTCAGGGATGCAGAGCCTCCACCTAGGTTTTGGGGCCAAGTGTGCCCCGGGCTGGCGCACCCTCCCACCTTCTCCCTGCAAGCAGACCCAGGCCTGCAGAGTGGGTCTGTGGGCTGTCTGTCAGCGTGCCAGGACTTGTCTACAACTGCCATGTGTGGACAGGAATCAGGTCAGATTTCAGCCAAGTCTGCTCCTATCCTACATGGAGTGGGAAGTCCTGGTTCCCTGCTGGGCTGGTGCCTATGTCTTAGGCAGGGTCTGTCTCTCCACAGGCCACACCATGTATAGGGGATCTCTCAATCCTTGTTTCCCTACAATTCCATGTCAGGCTGGTGGCCCTTGGGCCCCACACCTGCTGTGCCACCGGAGGGACAACTTGGCTCTTGTGGATGGTTGGCAGGTGGTCACCAGCTGCCAATGGTGAGGAGGACCTGGCCTACAGGGGTAGGGACCCACACGAACAGAGCACAGGCCCAGACCCAGGGGAGGCAGGACTTGGCAGGACGCCCACCTCAGGCGAGCCTGCAGTAATACAGGAGAGGGCTGCAGGCGGGATGTGAGTCAGCACCTTCGTCCACACTCTGCCCAGGAGTCCAGAACTGTGACCAGCGAAGGTCCCGGAGACCTGCAGTCTGGCAGCCACAGAACCAGCCCTAGCCAGGCCCCAGGCGCACTGTGCCCACTGTGGCTTGATTCTTGACATCTGGAGAAAAACACTGGTGAGACTCTTAAGGCTACATTTTTGAAAAATTTATTTTGTACTTTCAGAAGCTAAGAACTCTGCCACGCATGAACCAAATTTAGAATTAAAGAGTCTTTCCTAGTTTATCTACTTTCTTTTGAAATTTTATAAACAAGATTTTGTACACAAAGAGGTAGCAGAGGACAATTCCAGTCTGCTTGTTTCAAGCTCAAAAGGGACTGCACACGCCTTGACGTGTGCAGGGAGGGTAGGCCAGGCCAGGCCAGGCCAGGCCAGCGAGAGGACCTGGTGCTCTAGGTCCCAGGACTCGTGCTAGCTGCCAGTGGCTGCTGCCCGAGTCCACCAGAGTGTCGTGGTGAGCTGCCCTGGGATGCCCAGAATGGCCTTCATCACACGGCTCCAACAACACGGAGCGCTGAGTCCTTTGTGCAATTCCTGCTCAATTTGCAGACTGTTGTGAAAGGTTATAAAAACATCTTCATCCAAAAAATTGGCAGTAAAAATGATAACTTTTCCAAGGCAAGCCTGTCACAATTGTCACTTTGTGGTACTACATTAAAAAAAAGTCCTCAGCAGGTCTGTTGACTGCAGCTGTTGGAAATCAAGTGGTTACTGGCATAGTGGAATCGATGCTCACTGCAACAACCTAAGGACAGGAACCAAAGCTGGAGTGAGGCGACCCTGATGCGGCTTTGCATGAGGATGGCAGGGCGGGGGCAGGAGGTGTTTCCATAGGAAATAAGGGGACGAGAAGTGGCGATTTCACTCCTGATTTGGGGCTCCTGAGAGTGCAGCTGCCAGCGAGGATATTCCAACAGGTATCCTCGCTAGCATTTCATAGTCCTACACAATCTTTACGTGAAGATGGGTATGGACAGGTGAGGGCTGGAGGGGGATACAGCAGGATATGGGATATTCCAAATCACATCACACTCAGAACTGCAAGAACACCAGAACCATCTCAGAGGCGCTGCCTGCCTACATCTGTTTCTCTGGCCCTTCCCATCTTCACAAGTTTCTGACTAAAGCTGTCAGCAGCCTATGCTGTTTTGGAGGACGGACAATGTCTGGCCACAGCTGAACAGCAAGGGAAGGGCTGAGGGAGCACAGCGGCAATGCTGTTTGCCCATCACACGTCCCCACAAATGCGAACACAATCAAAAAGGCACTTTGGGGGTGGCTGCGCCTCTTTGACTTGCACGTTTAACAGTGGCAACCTGGCACCTACCCTAGTTCTGCACACAGCGAGCTGAAGGTAAGGCAGAACTTGTAACTAGAGGCCAAACAGAACAAGGCATGACCAGGTCCAAAGACAGAATGTGCCAAATACAAGAGTGTCACTGTGGTCCTCACCCCGCCCCAGAAGGGAGCGACGGCACAGGGAGTGCAGCTTTCGGATGAGTGCGCCTCTCCAGTGGCTTCTGGGGAAGCTGCCCCCCTGCTTTTTAGGACGATGAGTCATGTTTAAGAGAAGCCAAGCCTTACATCTCCATGTACTGAGAGTACCGCAGAACTTCTAAAGCAGCGGCCCCCTAATTCAGACACTTAACTTCATGTCTGACCACTACCAAGGGCTTCAGAAGTTACCTTTCCAGTAAAAGCAAACGATTGCAGATCACATGACTTAAAAGACTACAGTTTATTCAATATGTCTCCAAGCATTAAAAAGATACTTTTATGAAGTCAAACTCAATAAAATTGTATCTTAAAGTGCTTTTTATTTTGTCTTAAAATTTGTTTTGGGAACCACTCATAACTTCTTTAATGACTGATGTCAAAGAATGTATCCTGTACTTCTGAAGAACACAGATTTTTTTTACTGCTCTTTTCAATCTTACGTGTATCAGAAAATACCTTAAAGAGCTTAATCATTTCCCAATTTTTGATCCTGGTAACATTTCATCAAGATTTAGGCTTATGCCCAGGGCTCTCAATCAGACCCATCAGGAAGTCTATACAAGAAGGGAGACATATTAAATACAAAGGTCTGTGTAAACTGAATTCTTTAACTACTATTTTACAATGAAAAGGAATTTTACCACGTAATCTTTACATCATTTAAATTGGATATTCCTATTTGATGTTACTGTAAGATTAAAAATTTGCCCCCACAAACCTAAAGGCAGCTTGCTATTCCTTTTTCTTAAAATATAAAAAGCAAAGGGAATTTTTTTTTGTTGTTGTTGTATTGTGGAGAAAACAGCTTTCCCCACTCTTCTGCTCATGTAACAAAAGTCTGCTGCCAGCTTTACTTCCTAAATCACCACAGAAGTGTCCATTCGTCTGCATGGGGACCACGCCTCAGGACAGCTGGCCACACGCTGCTGCCTCCTGGCCTTCTCGTAGCCAGGGAAGCCTCCTCAAGGACATGGCCCCTGGAGTCCGTAGCCTCCTGGCCTGCCCCCAGGTTCCAACAAGGGTTTCAAAGATGAGATTCTGTTTCCAGAAGGTGCCGGCATCCGGTTTTGTTACTTAGGTGCTGGACACATTTCTCTAAGGATCGACATCATCAAGGTCACTTCTTAGGTCGCCAATCATCATGGGAGATTCTGAACCCTGTGGAAAAGAACAGGCAGAAATCTGTACCATTAAACTCAGGTAAAATTTTCTGTACTGACTTCCTATTTATGACTCAGTAGAATAAGTGCTTCTCTGGCAAGCTCAAGAGTCTGAGTTCAATCCCTGTTCCACCAAAAAATAAAAAAAAACAATCCTGCGGTGGGGGGACCCCTTCATGTAGCAACTTGGCTGTTTACTGACACCAAAATGCAGCACTAGGTGTTACAGCTTCCTTTTGACAATTTGTGATTCTGAGAAACACTTTGATGTCTAAGTCACTTAGTCACTGAGGCAACCCAGTGCCCCTCACCTAGGGCTGCCTGTTCTCATGCCCACAAGCAGACTCTTCTCGGAACACTGAAGAGCAGTGGGACAAAGCTGGGGGTGACCAGCTGCCACTACCATCTGCTCTGTGCTGGGCACTCTGCCTGCCCATGAGCACTAAGTCATTTTCAGGTCTGCATGCTGTCTTTGTCGTCAATGGCATTGGCCTGTTTTATGTGCTCCAAATTTCTGAAGATCTTGCATGAGCCCTGGGAGTGGGCTGAGTGGGGGTGGAAAGCAAGGAGATGGGGACCACTTTTGTGGCAGTGACACCAGTGGGAGCAGGATGAAGCAACAGAAGGGCCTAAGGCAGAGGAACACGGTGTATCTGGCAAACCAAAGTGCTGATTCAAATCCAAAGCAGCAATGGCTGGGGCTAGATATACAGGAGACAAATCACATGGGACTATGTGACATGTTCTGGCCTCTACTTAGCAGAAAAGCTACAACAGGCTTTGGCAAGTGGGCCAGACAATAACACAAGTAGAGGCAGGCAGTTCTCCCAAAGCCCTGAAGATTTAGATGCTTAGGAGCCAGGAGAGATGAGTGAATACCGTGGGTCTGCGGACCTTGGTGCGCATGGGGGCCAGCCAGGATGACCCCTGAGCACCCTGGCTCATGCTGGCACATGGGTGCTGAGGGTGGCGAGGAGGGCTTGGCTGTGGTGGCATCTTCCAGACATGGTAGGCACAGCTGTCAGGAGCGAGAGTGCTAGGTGTGGATGAAGGTACGGGGCAGGAGCAGAAGAGAGCAAGAGCACAAGGATAGAGCAGAGACCTGTGGGACATCTACTGGGGACCTGGAGGAGGGCAAGGTGTCGGGAAAGGACAGGAAGTGAGCATCAGAAGAAGGGAGGAGTGGC